TTTAATCTCTTTCTCTTAGAAGTGCTCAAAAAATGAGTCCAGTTTTTAAAGACAAGCACTCGAAACTTTATACAAGGATACACAAATAGCATAGGATTATCGTGAAATAATTCATTTTCCATCTTTGTATCAGAAATCAGAAATCAAAATATACATCCAGAAAACACTCAAGGATTTTCAACAGTAAAAATGTACAGTACCTATTCTGCTACATTAAAATATATATTTTTCCTAATTTTAAAGTTCAATTCTGTTTGCCTAACGTTAAAGTCCAAAATTTTTGAAATTCACACACATTTTCAAACTTTATCACTCTCGTATTAACAAATAAGCAAACACAAATCAAAAACTCTAATTAATCCTAGCACATAAAATTTAACACCTTCTTAAAACAGTAAGTTATACGAAATAAATAAATTCAAAAATCAATTACTGATTCGATCCTTCACTAAGCAGAGGTCACGGCACCAAATTGTTATGAAGAGAATTTTCGACACCAAGGTTAAATAGCTTTACTTCAAGGTACCATGTTATATCTGAAATTCCTACATGTTAAATGTTAAATATGAAGCTACTTGCCGTGAAAAGGTTTCTACTTCCTCTTAGGGAGGAAAACTAAACTCTTAAGAATTTGCCAACTAACAAAATTTTAGTGATCGTATAGTGAAACGTGTACAGCATTTTTGCGTTGTGAGAAAAAATGCATCCCGGGACCGCGCCGTGAGAGGATCGAAAACATAAACATATACAAGATATAAAGGAAAAAAGTTCATATTAAATATATAAAGAAAACATACTGTAATAGTTTCCAGATTAAATATCACTTTATTCAATTACATCACAAATGAGAAAAATCTTAACCTCATCTGAGAGTCTTTTCATTTAAATTCATAAAAAAAAACCTAAGGTTTGTCTGGTAATTTAAAAGAAAGGAAAGGGAAACAATTTATGGCCTGAGAGTTAAATTTTAGATTCGACGTTGTTTTTACTGCTAAGGACGTTTTTGAAAAACTTGCTTAAAGTTCAAACACACCAAAAAAAAATAAAACTTATCTTGAGTGGACATCTTGAAGTGGAGGACTCGTATCTTATCAAGCGTTGATGTCGGCCGGGCTCATCTTGACACTGGTTCTAAAAATGGAGGCGCCAATTCCCACTGTAGAACAGAAACAGGAGCACTGCTGCCCAGGACGGCTATCCGCTTGGTCCTGAAAGTCCTAAGTCAACACGCAGTTAACTCGTTCAAATTTCGCCTCTTTACCAGCACGCCGCAAGGAAGAGTGTTTTCAGATTCAGGCCAGAAACGTTTTTTTTTTTCTAGGCAATTACAGCTCGCCTGTTCTTACTCATCCCAAGAGCAAGCTTCACGAGTAACGACCCAAGTAAGTTCCACCCGCCAGTCAGTAAGAGAGAGTCCTACTCGAATTTCCTTCAAGCCAGTTTTCAAGAGCAACGTCCACAAGTCCAGCAAGCCCGAAAGTCAGCGAGTCCAAGCCGTGAGAGAGTCTCGCCTCTTAACCAAAACGCGGCCGGGGAGCATATTTGCCGCTCCCCGCCGGAAAACCATTTTTCTCCGTAATTACATCTTCTCTCTCGCTTTTTCAACCTGTTTTCAAGAGTAACATCCACAAGTCCAGCCAACCAGTAAGTGAGCGAGTCCAAGAGAGAGTGTAAGCGAGTCTCGTCTCTTAACCAAACGCGGCCGGGGAGCATATTTGCCGCTCCCCGCCGGAAAACATCTCTCTTCGTAATTACATTTTGTCCAGCAGCCCGTAAGTCCAGCAAGTCCGAAAATCAGCGAGTCAGTCAGAGAGTGAGCCAAAAAGTGAATCCAACTCGAATTTCCTTCGCCTCCTTCACAAACGCGGGCTCCCAGTATGGCTTCACTTATCGCCCCCTTAATTATGGCAAAATTTGCGCTTTCAACTCCAGAATGCGGAAATAAGGGTGATCGCGCATGCGCGCCTTCCTTCACTTAGCCAACAACCGGACCCTCAATCGCCAAAAACCTGAATGACTTACATTGAAAGACAAGTAGCAACCCTTTGACCTTTCTGTCACGTACTTTCCTCTCTTAAGGTCAACTAACAATGAAAATTCTTTCTCGAACATTCTAAAGGACAAAGCGCGCGAAATCATGACTTGGCATAAATTGCCTCCCTTTCCCTGCTTCTTTCACAATGAATAAAAGTTTGTACAAGATTTTCAAATAAAAGAAAATAAATAATATTCATTTAAACTAAATAATATTTCCAGAAGCATCTGTTTTTCCCCAAAATTAAAGCCTTAAAATAAATAATTCATAATCAAATATAAATTAAGATTTCCATAAATCATAAAATCATTCACATAGTTTTTACAACGTTATCAGATAATTTCTCTACATAACACATTCTTATTAGAATCGATGAATTTAACCCCTTAACTTTGCTTTTCTATATTTTCGCCTTCGAGTGATCTGTATGATTGCATACTAATTGATTTAATTACCGCGTATGTCCTTGGGGCATAAAATTGAACTATCTGGTAAAAATTCTATGTAATTGTGTGGCAGTATTGAAACAAACAATCAGTGATAAGAAATGGCTGTGAATTGTTTCGAAAATGAGACTTAAAAGGTTACCAGCGAGGATATTCCGTTTGGTATCAGTTGTACCATTACTGGCGATTTTATCGCCTGCGCCGGCAAAACGGAAAAGTACCAAATTCAGTGACCGTATATTGTTCCTCGGTACTTTGTGTATGTAGGTCGTAAAGGAACCTAATAAACTGTAGAGCCTCTTATCGCTGAGTTCACGTGTATAAGTCCAGGGAAGGATTAAAATACCCTTTTATTCACTTAAAGAAATAATAATAGATGGCTCCTTCTTGGGCTTACAGGAAGACTCCACTCTGGCTTTTAACTCAAGATAAGAAACTAATCCAATTCTAGACTAAACTGACTTAGCCGAAGCTTGGCACAAATAGCTAATGTAGTTGGCCTATAATTTAACCTAGCCGACGATTATCAACAGGCAAGTACAGTACGGCGGAATGTAGTACATTTAAGAACGAAGTAGCCAGATGACCAACATGCGCCACTAAGGACTCCTGGTGCTACTTTGGTAGGCGGTTGCACGGATTTTTGCGATTCTGCTTTTGGCGAGCGATACGACTTATGGTAAACCCATTACTAGACAAGTTATTTATGGTAACCGATACTTTGTTGTCATTTTATTTAAAAAATAATGCGTTTTATTATGCATAAATTGCGTGTTTTAAATATTACTTATGGCTTCTAAATATCAAAAATCAATTTAATTTTGCATTTTTATTTGAAATAAAAATTTTATTTTTCATGATATTTTATGGAATTTTATGTTGTAGATGGTGTAATGAATGATGTCACATTACTTTAAAAGTAATTGGTTTTAATATCTATTAATTTAATCTAATGTTTTAAACATATTTATGGCTATCAAAATCGTAAAATCGTGAAAACAACCTTGTATTTAGCGTAAGTATATAGAAACACTAAATCGATTTCGAGGGCAGCTAAACGTCCCTCCTCATCAGGAGAAAGAAATACCTAGAAAGAAGAAAAATAAAGGGAAGGAGTCTCAGAAACACGTGGTCCTTATCAGCACTGCACGTGGTTATAACCGGATTTTTGATCAGAGTTACACTGGCCGCCTACTTTTACTGAGCCAGGCTATCTGATCAAACATGTAACACAAAGGACAAGAAAAATTAGCGAAATAAAAATAGGGATCGAGGGGCAAATGCACGTTCACGCTCAAAATCTGAGCTTCGAATAATGGAAAGCAACCACTGAACGGATTAGAAGCGAAACATACTAATGTGACAATCAAAATCGTAAATTTTTCTTCTTTCTCCTGATGAAGAGGGACCTTTAGCTGCCCTCGAAATCGATTGAGTGTTGCTATATACTTACGCTAAATACAAGGTTGTTTTTACGATTTTACTGTTTTGATTGTCACATTAGCGTGTTTCTTTCTTAGTCCATATTTATGGCTGTTAAATATTAAAATACAATTTAATTTTTCATTTTTTTTAAATGATTTTATTATGTATGATTATTTAAATAATTTTAATTCTATTCGTAATGTAATCAGCTTTCAATTTAAGTAATATTTTAATCCAATTAAACGTTGGGTGCTACTGTGGTAGACGGTTGCACGGATTTTGGCGATTTACGTTGGCGCAATTGTTAGGGCGGTTTTTATAATCGTCAGCCATCTTGAAAAACGCTGTTTTTAGGCATAGTAAAGTATTCGAAACTTTAAAAAAAATAAATATCGTTAAAAGTAATGCATTAATTTTTTGTTGAAAATGTCGTTTTAAAGATGGTAAATAAATACATTTACTATGAGTATAAAATACTAAAGTAAGGTTATTATTACTTTTATATAGCAAAGAAATAAAATAAAAACACCGTTATAAAAACATTGCGCCAACGTTTAATTGGATAAAAATATTACTTAAATGGAATATCGAATTAAAAACATGATACCAACGTTTAAAACAATTCACATATTACTTGAATTCAAATCCTTTAAAATACGTTTTATAGGATATAATTATTTAATATTAAAACATATGTGGCAATAAATATCCCGGCATTTTTTGAAAACAGTGTATTATTTTTTTAATAAAAATTGAAGTGTACAATTATAAAGTAAAAGAAAAATATGTACTTACATTTTTTTGAGTATTTAACGTGCCGTATATATATTGATAAGTACACAAATCGAAATCATAATTTCACGCAATTTATGCATAATAAAACGCATTATTTATTAAATGAAATGACAACAATGTATCGATTACCATAAATAACTTGTCTAGTTATGGGTTTACCATAAGTCGTTTCACTCGCCAAGAAGAAATCGCCAAGATCCGTGCAACCGTCTACCAAATAGCACCAAACTTCCTACAGCTTAATGACACTTAGCAAATGAAATCAAATCAGACTGATAAAAAATTTATTTACAATTTTATCTAGCTTAATTCAATTTAATTACACTCACGTACACGCACCTCATTTGCAATAAATTACTGATCAGCGTTTTATGCCAGGTAAAATATAAATTGCTTGTTTAAGAGATCTTTATGATTTTTCATGATTGTATAGACGATGAAACGTCTTTTTCAAATTAGCCAAAACTTCCGCTCGTCTCTCCGATTTCTTTTTCGCTCTACCGACATACAGCACTTGTCCATCAACTGTTTTCCCATTTAGTTCTCGGATCGCTTCTTGAGCACATTCGGGATCTGTAAAATTAACAAATCCAAACTTTTTCGAATCTCCGTTTTCGTCCGTCATCACTTTGGCAGAAAGTATGGTTCCGAATTTCTCGCATAGTTTTTGTAAATCTTCGTCCTTAAAAGTGCTCTTGAAGTTTTTAAGATAGATATTTGTAAACCGAGGACACGTTTGTTCGAGTCGTTTATCACGGGGTATGAACTTACTGACGTACAACTGATGGCCTAGGAGTAATTTCTCATTTAAGCAATCAATAGCTTTGTTTGCGGATTCTTCGTTCTCAAATTGGATAAAAGCGAATCCTTTGGATTGTCCGTTTTCGTCTGTGGCTACTTTCAAAGACACTATATTGCCGTAGTTTGCGAATACATCATAGAGTATCCTTTCATCAATATTAGGGTGCAAATTTTTCACAAACAAGTTGGCTGACATGGGGCATTTGTTAAAGATATTTTTGTCATCCCACATGATACGGATGGCCCTGCCCATAACCAGATCGTAATTGAGTGTATTCAGAGCCTTCTTAGCGTCTTCGGGATCCATGTAGTTGACGTAACCATAACCAAGAGAACTTTTAGTGACAACATCTGTGCAAATTCGGATGTTTAGAATTTTCCCCACAGCTGAGAATTTCTTGTAGAGTGTTGCTTCATCGCAATCTGGATGGAGATTTCCTACATACAAAGAAGTCATTCCCGTGAAGATTTACAGTGATGATTTTACAATATAATTAAGTACGTTTACAACCTTATCAAACATTTCATCGAGTTAAAATCAGATTTAATCATTCATAAAGATTTTGAAACATAAATGTGTGCTCGCGTTTTTCACTGCTTTTCCGGTAACAGCATTTTGATGAGCACGCGTTTCTGAATTCGTGCCTTACTTGCCTCTGCTTTATATCTCGTGGTTATGTGCTTAATATTTTTGTAATTTTCGGCCGAAAAGCCTGATTATAGTGTAATCTGTATTACACGCTATAATTTTGTTATTATTAAATTATTATTATTAGCTCAAAGGGGAAATTTGCGCGGAAGGGCTATTAATTTCATTTTGGCATTTTTCGTCGTTTCACTATAAATAACGGTTCACTTCTCAAATTGTTGCCATGAAATATTAGAGCCCTCCCTCATATTTAAAGAAATTAAATGATAAAGAATCTGTATGAATGTATGTATGTTTCTCTCACTGTGAAAAAACAACGGTACCTAGAGACATCAAATTCTGAATAACGTAGTCCTCAATTCGAATATGAGCATCTGGAAACCCGAATTTGGAATTTTTTTTATTATCAATTTCATATTTTTCAAACATTAAAGAATTTTTTATCAATAAAATCAACGATCTCAAAGCAAGCAATGGCAACACTGTAGGAAAAAAAAAATATCTCCTGAGCGCGAGACTGTGTATCGGAAATTTTAAAGGTATACTCAGCAACAGCAATATCATAAATATTTTATGATGTCGCTGTTGAATTGAATTTTATGGTTTGAGTAAATGCGAAGAAAATGATATTTAAAAAGTAAAGGTAACACCAAAACGCTAAATAACGCCCCTTTAAGTGTAATATAAAATCTGGAAGGTTTCAGATTTTTATTTATTGATATATTATTTTATTATTTTTGCTATTATTGTTTTATTAAATGTTTAGGAAACGTATTACTTGAGTAAATAAGGCTCCAGAAATATTCAGTCGAATTTAAAAGCTGAAAGAATTTATGGTACTATTCCGTTTTGAAGACCGTAAAAAAAGTGCATCGAAAATGTATGCGCAAAAGCGCCAAATCTAGCAAACGCGCCCAATTAACAGCGCGAAAATGTCATTTACTGGCATAACGGAAAAAACTGACTCCTTTTAATGACAGTAAACTTTCGAAACTTTCAATTCCACAACTTTCTAAAGTCAAATGCATTTTGCTTTAAACACTTACTGTCATTTTAAAAACCATTTTAATTGAATCATAAATATAATTTCATGGCTTTGAATTATCATTTAATTCATTAGCGCTATTAAAGTGGTAAATAAAGTAATTTAATTGAACAGTTTCATAATCTTTAAACCCCGAATCATTTTCAAGGAATATTTTAGAAGTTTAATGTAACATATTTTTAATATATTTTGCAACCTTTTTATCGAATAAAATACAACCAGTTACGTACGATCACCTGAATGCACAGAACTGTTCATTCCGACTTCTTTGATTCTTTTCAAAATGGCAGCAAAATCAAGCGTAAACAGTCTAGGACTTATCCGCCCAATCAATAGAACAACACTCAAGCCATTAATTTCTCATTTTCCATCTCAGCCGCAGAAGAGCGCGAAAACTCTTGTCTTACCCGCTTCTTACAATGGAAAGGTTCCGTAGCTATGGCGACAGAGCCACAGGTGGTCTTTCTTATCCTTTTGCGCTTTCGAAGTAGAAAATATGGAGATGGAATTTCAATAGCTTACGCGCCTTTTCGCTCGTCTATTCTATCACTCCTTATAGATGAAAGCGGCGAGCGCTTATTTTCTAGAATAAAATATCGTTCGGATGGAAGGCGCAACAGGTAGATAGGAGAAAGGTCGAAAAATGGGATCAAAATTTACTTCAGAATAAAAATAATTGATTTCCATAAACTTAAGAATTTGATATAATTCATGAAGAACTATTTAGATGGTGCAACGAAAAATCATTCACATTTTTTTTTAACCAAATTAACAGCGATTATACAGCGATAGAAACCATCAAATACTTTTGACTGCGGGCGAGGGAAGGGAAGGGAGAGTAAAAAAGAATTACAAAATATTCAGCACATAACCACGAGATATAAAGCAGAGGCAAGTAAGGCACGAATTCAGAAACGCGTGCTCATCAAAATGCTGTTACCGGAAAAGCAGTGAAAAACGCGAGCACACATTTATATTTCAAAATCTTTATGAATGATTAAATCTGATTTTAAAAAGAAATTGGTTTTGTATTTGGTTTTCTACGAATTTCCTTAATAAAAACCTAAATCATAAGAATTGAATTTTCTAATGAACAAAATAATAGTAATAATAATAATAGACGATAAATGCTAAATGCAAGCTGCTTTCATAACGTCTTGAATTTTTCTAAAACTATATTAAGTTTATTTCGATAAGCGTAAATTTTTATTTTTAGTCATACTTTTTAAATATTAGGTTGTTCGGTTTCTTTTTTCCAGAGGACGGCTCAAGTGTATTTTTTCACAGAAACTTCACGTTTAAGCCGAATACTGATTATATATTTTGACAGCTGATATAGCAAGGCTCGCTTCTGAAAATGTTCGATTGATTCTAAGCAGTAGTTTTTGGTTGGTGCCCTTTCAAATATGGAAAGTGAAAAGCAGGATCTCCGGCATATTTTACTTTTTTACTCTCGAAAAGATAAAAACGCTGTTAAAGCTAGAAAAAAGAATATCCAATGTGTTTGGAAAAAAATCCCTTGACAGAACGCCAGCGCCAAAACTGGTTTGCAAAATTTCGATCTGGCAATTTTGACCTTGAAGATGTAACAAACTCTGGAAGGCCAGCTGATGAAGACACAATAAAAAAGCATTAATCGATGGAAACCGGCGAATCATAATTCCTGAGATCGCTGAGAGATTACATTTAGCGAAATCGACCGTTCATGATCATTTGAAATGCCAATGTTTAATCTCAAAGCTCGACATATGGATTCCTCATGTTCTCGCGGAAATTTGTGCCATTGCATTGACGTTTGTGATTTGCTCATCAAACATCACGAAAATGATCCATTTTTGAAGCGTATCACAACTGGGGACAAGAAGTGGGTTGTCTACCATAATGTTAAACTCAAGACATCCTGGAGCAAAAAAGATGAACCGGCTCGAAATACTTCGAAAGACGATATTCATATAAAAATAAATGATGTTATCCGTTTGGGGGTATTTCAAAGGAATTTTTTCCCTTAAAGTGTACTGTCATCAGCTGCTGGACAAAATGAATGTTTCACCGAAACAGAAGCGGCCAGAATTGATCAATAGAAAAAGTGTAGTGTTTCACCAAGATAATGCGCTAGTCCTCATACAAGTTTGGTAATTCGCCAGAAGATTTTACAGGTTGGATTGGATATACTGCCACACCCACCATATTCTCCAGATATGGCATCTTCTGATTATGATTTGATCCGGAATTTTAGGCGGTGAAATCTTTACCTCAAATTTGGAGGTCAAAAATCACCTGGATCAGTTCTTTGCGAGCAAAGATAAAAATCTTTTATGAGCTTGGAATCATGCTATTGCCAGAAAGATATTGGACCAGAATGGACAATATGTCATTCAGTAAAATATTTATTCGCTATAAGAAAATCTTCTTTCATTTTCATGGAAAGAAAAACGAAATTGCGTTCCGAACAGCCCCAAACATAACTATTTTGAGAAGATTTAAATTTTAAGAAAAAATACGGCTTTTCATTTGGCGGGGGGAAGGAATGATGCCCTTTCAGAAGCAGACAGACGAACTTGATCGTCTGCAATATCGTAGTAGTTTCATTCAAAATCTATACAAAATAATATTTAAAAAAGAATATCTGAAAGGTTTCAAATTATAAATTACGCCCAAAGGGGCGTTTTTTTAAACATTTTTTGTGTTAACTTTATGTATTAAATATCATGTTCTTTGTACTTAAACCATAAAATTTAGTTCAATAGCAATGTCGCAAAATAATTTTAAAATGAGCCTATCTTCAGAATTTCGGAAACACAGTTCCGCGCGCTGGAGATAGAAAGGTATTTTTGCCCCGTAGAGTGCTGCCATTGCTCGCTTTGAAATCTTAATTTCTTCAAATATAATGCAGGACTCTAACATTCGGTGGCAACAGTTTGAAAAGTGATTCGCTGTTTATAGTGATTCAATGTAAAATCGCAAAATGAAAACAAAGTCCTTCAGAAACAAAGAACTTTTGGACGAAAAGAAAACTCGCTTTAAATTTTACTTTGCCGTTTTTCTCTTCCATTTCATTTTCTAAGATGAGTTTTATTTCTCCACTAAGCAAGTGCAAAAATCTTTATCGAAATATTTCTCCTTATTTACACAAATGAATTAGTTGTGGAAAGTATAAAATGCAAAATCTTTGTCTTACTTTCATTAGAACATTTATTGTTCATTTTAATATTAGAATCGTCAAAAGTAGTCTTTCCAAATTTTTCACCCGATTTGCTATGATGGCACTGATCTGACAAGTTTTGTCATTGCATGTGAGATAAAATACTTAACCGCTTGTCTAGTTATTTGGATATATATGCAATGGCATATATATGCAATGATATCATATGCAATGGCACAAATTTCTTTCCGCGAGAACATGAGGAATCCATATGTCGAGCTTTGAGATTAAACATAGGCATTTCAAATGATCATGAACGGTCGATTTCGCTAAATGTAATCTCTCAGCGATCTCAGGAATTATGATTCGCTGGTTTCCATCGATTAATGCTTTTATTGTGTTTTCATCAGCTGGCCTTCCAGAACTTGGTGTATCTTCAAGGTCAAAATTGCCAGATCGGAATTTTGCAAACCAGTTTTGGCGCTGGCGTTCTGTCAAGGGATTTTTTTCCAAACACATTGGATAATTTTTTTTCTAACTTTAACAGCGTTTTTATTATTTTATTTCCAAGTTAACTCGTCCGTCGAAACTTTATCGAAAATATTTATTAAGAGTTAACACGTGATTAATGGTTCATGAGGGACATTTTTTATTTATTCCGAAAGAAATTGCAACGTGTTATGCTTCGCTGCGTTCCTCTGCCGCATGTTATGTCACACTTTCT